AGTAGAGTCAGAAAGTCACTGAAATTTTCCTGACATGCTATCAAGGACTTCCCATAATCTTCCATACTTTCCTTTTCTATCAGACTTTGGAACATCGCTGCCTTTCATCTATCTCCCCTACGCTACACAAAGCCTGTATTAAGGGCAGTCTCAGCCACTGGTGGGTTAGGAACAAAGGGTAATTGTGTGGTACACATGCCTCTTCTTCCCAATTCCGTACCTAGAGCAGGCATCACTGATCAATCAGTCATGGCATGCTTCCCTACAGAGTTGTGACAGCTTCAGAATCTTTCTCTACCAGCACTGTAGGCAACCACTACCAATTGATCAAGCCCAGTTGCTGATTTGATATAAGTTAAAGCTTAATTGACCTAGTATAAGGGGATCTGTGGTATAAATTACCTAATTGAGATGAGTCATAAGTATAGTCTTAGGGTTTTTAAAAATTTTTGTTTTAATAACTGAAAGACACTTGAACTATAGAAGCCTCTGTGTATACAGCTCTCTTTTGCTTTGAATGGTACTCACATCTACTACTGTAGGCTTGAATTGAGGGCGCCCCAGCAGAGAAGTCCTCCTCTGACACCTGGTTGGTAAAGTCGGCCACAGAGACCCCTCTTCCACTGCGAGGATTAACTATGATGGTCTAACTGGGAATCAGCTGGCATTTACTGAGCATCTGCCAGGGTCAGGCTCTGTGCTAGGTGCTCCAGGTTCATATCCTCTGTTCCAATTTGTGGCCTTTGCACCACATCATGCAGCTAGCTCTTCACATCACAATGTGCAAAATAAATCCCTCCTCCAGGAGCTCATGCAGAGGTGCATCACAGGTGGGGATGAAGAAGCACACGCCAGGATGGGAAATTTTGCTACTATCCATAAACCTTAAGGAAATACAAATCATCACGCAAGGGAAAGATTATCTCTCAGCAACTATACACATTAACTTGGGATCATGCCTGGAAGAAATTATCAGTCATTAAAGAAATCAGACTGAAATCAAGAACAGATGTGAGAAAAGTAGAAAATGACATATGAATTCAGTACTTTTACAAACTGTTGGCAATTCTTGGCACCAAAGCCTCTGTTAGCCAAATGCAGAAGTTGGTGAGCATTCTGAGGGCCTCCAAAATCCACTGTGGTGCAACAGGTATGCTGGAACATTCTACAAAGTGGTTTCACAGTAAAACTATAGAAATTAGTGGGGTCCAATGGCAGTCTCTCTACTCTTCACATTATGAAACACCATAGGCATTTTCTTCTCTCCTGTCAGGAGGAAGAAAAATTGCCAGAACACAATAACTTTCTTTCTAATTACATCTGACGAAGAGCTGGCTGTAGGGGTTACGTCTTGTATGTAGTGACCATTCATCCCAACTTGCCCAGGAGAGTTTATGCTTGTCACAGTGTAATTATAAAAATCAGCACTCTTTCCACTAAAAAGTGTCCAGGTTTTGATAATAAATTGACTATATGACCACTTTGCTTATATAGCAGGTTTCAATTTACTGCTCCTTTGGCACAAACACAGTAAATTGGACTGGATATACTTCCAGGATATGAGGAAAAGTTAGTCTGCACAGAAAAGCCATTTTGTCAGGAAAAAAAGTGCTGCAGATGAAATTTCCACATTATCCTTCCTCAATCTGCTACCCACACATACCCATATTCACACCCATGCCGTATCTACGTATCTAGTGTCAGCCAGCATTATTGGAACAGTCTTGCAAGTTCCTCTGAATCTCAGTTCTACTGCTAAAAGTCTACTGGGTTCATAGGAAGAAGGTGCAAATATGGAAGCTTTAAGTGGATTTAATAGTGATCCACTGTTATCTCTGTATGAGTGGAAGACAACAGGAAGCAGGACTCGGGGCCTCCCAAGAGAGTCACAAATCGGGCCATTTGCTTGTCTGATGGGAACAGGTTGGCCTCTCTTCTGGCTCCCTCCCAATTCCTTCCAACCCCAGATCACTCATCCCAGGATCCCTTTCCTATTCTTTCCAAAGCAGGATATTCAATTTCCTCAAACAGCCAAGACCACCTGGCCAGATGAAAACCGGCCAAGAAAACCAGGATTTCTTGACTAGCTGTTGAGGACTTCACCATGGCAGGAGTTAGAGCACTGTCATCAGGAACCATTTGCTTTTGGATACGCACCTTAATTCTTAGATCCTATCATTTGCAGCTGCAAAAGCCAGTCAGAAAGATTTGGGGTGTTCCTATTTTCTTGTTAATGTGAAAACCAGCTGTCCCTAGCTCTGACTAGGAAGAAAGAGCAAAAATAAAAAGCCTGGGACAAGAGTGCCACCTAGTGGCAAAAGCATGCTTTCATTTGTTTCTTTCAAAAAAGAGAGCCAGTGGAATATGTCGAGGGCTTCCTAGGGATTATTTTATTAAATGTTTGCAACGCAGAAGTAATTTGGAATCAGGAATTTAAAAGAAATGGGCCCTGTCCTCAAAGAACCCACAGTTTGATGGAGGACATCGACATGTAACAACAAAATTAGAATGGAGGGTAGATAGAGTATTTTGGAGACACAGACAAGGGACACCTGGTGGAATCAGGGAACGTGTACAGAGGCACTGAGCTTACGGATAAGTGAGAATTAGCCCCACGCTTGGCTTACCTATCCCTGTGCCAATTACACAAGGAGAGGAACAACTGTGAGGGCTGAACTTGGCACAAATTATCCATTTACTGTCACTTTCCTGTGACATACTCCACGGTTGAAAGCTGTGCTGTCCATTACAGTGGCCACTGGCCACATGTGGCTATCGAGCACTTGAAAGACAGCTAATCCACACTGAGGTGTGCTGGAAGTGTAAGTTACACTCTAGATTTCAAAGATTTAGAATTCAAAAAAAGTTTAAAAATCCCATTAGTTATTTTTATATTGATTACATTTTGCAATGATATTGTTTGGACACATTGAATTAACATAAAATATATTATTAATTTCATGTTTCTTTTTTAAATGTGGCTCTAAAAACTTTGAAATTACTTATATACCTCAAATTATGTTTCTACTGGGCAGCACTGATCTAAACCATTGGTTCAGCTCCAGTGGGAATTATATTTGAGTTTTGATATGATTTCTTTAGAGCTGGACTCTACTGGCTGTGGCTATGAGCAAAGTTTCTGTGGTTAGCCTTGTTCCATCACTGTATCCAGGATTAGCTCAAACAAGTTTATTTAAACTCTCTTAACCTCAATTTTCTTATTTATAAAATGGGACAATATCTGTGTTGTGAGCAACACAGATAAAGTTTAAACTTTATCTGTGCCTATGAGTTCGATTGTTCCAGATCCCACATAATACCCCGTTTGACTAACATCTCTCTTTTCTCAGTCCATCCCCCACTTCCAGCCTCTGGTAACCAACATTCTACTTTCTATTCCTATGACTTCGATTGTTCCAGATCCCACATAATACCCCGTTTGACTAACATCTCTCTTTTCTCAGTCCATCCCCCACTTCCAGCCTCTGGTAACCAACATTCTACTTTCTATTCCTATGACTTCGATTGTTCCAGATCCCACATAATACCCCGTTTGACTAACATCTCTCTTTTCTCAGTCCATCCCCCACTTCCAGCCTCTGGTAACCAACATTCTACTTTCTATTCCTATGACTTCGATTGTTCCAGATCCCACATAATACCCCGTTTGACTAACATCTCTCTTTTCTCAGTCCATCCCCCACTTCCAGCCTCTGGTAACCAACATTCTACTTTCTATTCCTATGACTTCGATTGTTCCAGATCCCACATAATACCCCGTTTGACTAACATCTCTCTTTTCTCAGTCCATCCCCCACTTCCAGCCTCTGGTAACCAACATTCTACTTTCTATTCCTATGACTTCGATTGTTCCAGATCCCACATAATACCCCGTTTGACTAACATCTCTCTTTTCTCAGTCCATCCCCCACTTCCAGCCTCTGGTAACCAACATTCTACTTTCTATTCCTATGACTTCGATTGTTCCAGATCCCACATAGGACCTATTTTGTTGAGACTCCTAAATGTCAGTATCCGTAGTTCTTTTTTTTTTTTTTTTTTTTTTGGTGAAGGCAGGGGGTGTTTTCCTGGAGAGGAGGCCTCCACTTTCCTGCCTGACATGTGTAAACCTAGCCAATTCGACATCTGGGGGCCTACTGGGGACCTTCCTGGAGGTCTTGCCATTTCAGTGTGGTGTCATCAACCTCCAGTTGGAGGTCAGTTGAGTTGGTTTTCTCTTTTTAGCTTCCCCTGCTTCCCTCTGGAACAACAACAGTAATAACACATATAATGGCTACTATTTATTAAGCACCAACTAGATTAGGCATTGTCCTAAGCAATTAACATGAAGGGTGCCCTTTATTCTTCTCGGTGTCTTTTAATGTCAAAACAAGGTTGAAAGCTACAATGACTGCAGACATTGATTTCTGAAAGCACATGAGTGTTCAACTCTAGCTGTATTTGTATCACCCAAAACAAATTGGAATCTGGTGCAGGTCTACCGCACATACGGTCTTGAGGTTAAACACTAATAGGACTGTCACTAGGGAGGGGGGCTTCTTTAAGGGCTTCTAAAAGGTAACATACAATTTACTAGGTAGCTGGCTCTCTCCCAACTTTCATTCTGAACAGGAATTAGGCCTGGGTTTACATGATCCTCTACTATTTTTTTTAATGAAGAAAGGTGGCTGAGTAAGTTGGATGTGCTTCTTAAGAGTTCCAGTCCTGAGGGATTCACTCTTTTCCACTTAACATCACACATTCATAAGGTACCTTGACAAGGTTGGAGTATACGAGGGTATTTCAAAAAGTTCATGGAAAAAACAATTAAAAGATAATACGTATCTTTCCATGAACTTTCTGAAGTACCGTCATAGGTATCTACAGTCTGTGACTACATGTAAAGACCAATGATGAAATGGGACAACAATTAAGCCTCTGCTGGCTATCCTAGGACTGTTTCTTAAATATTCTGATATTTTCAAGAGGCCATCCAAATATATTTTCTTGAAAGAAACATTTATTTGTGATCTTTATTGGTCAAACAGTTTCAAACAAATCCAGAGAAGGTTTTCACATTTTGAGCCTTTAGTGCAAAGATACTATATATCATGCGGGAAATAAAATGCTTATTCAGTGGAGCGCTCCCCTGATGCATTTAAATATTAGGATGCTCAGGCAGAAGACGGTTTATATGACAGAAATTTGCTCATAAATCTGCTTGAAAAAGGACATGATTTGAACCTCACGTTAAAGTTTTTCACAACATAAATGTGTTTAAACAACTTATTTCAAATTGTCTAACTTCAAAACAAAACACCCCGAGAATCAACTATTTCTTTAAATTAAAAAAAAAATCAATTTATACCCTTCTTAAAAAGAACTCCAACAATTTAATAAGTTCTGCTTCCTTATATACGTATGTACATTTATAACTTAGGTGCTCTCTGCACTGCATACTTTACCCATGCACCAGAGACAGAGGACTGGACTCGAGGCTCTACAGAGGCCTTTCTGAGAAGGCAGTGTAGCTCCTCACCCTGGAGAAAAACAGGGGTGTGTACATCCTGTCAATCTCAAAAGCACTCACGGCAGTCTCGCCAGTTGACCTGGAAAGAAAGCACGCAATTACTAGCACAAAGAAATTTCAGCTCATTTAAAATCTGTGCATGTTTGTAGGGGGACCTAATTTTATGCTGTAGCCTTCTTTATTTTTAATTCATCTCAGTAAATTCCAACTAACATTGGCACATTATAAAAAAGTTTGAAAAACTTAGAAAAGTATCAGGAAAAATAACTCACAATTCCACCACCCAAATATAGCCATATGAAGTACTTTCTTATAGTGTTTCTTGCAAGCACCTCAATCTCTCTATTGAGCTTCACTAAGATCATACTCTTTTAGTAATCCTGTTTTTCATTTAACCTTATGACATATGCATTTCCTCACATCATTAAATATTCTTCAAAAGCCATTTTTAGTAGCTCCATAATATTTTACTGTCCGCTTGTGCTACAATTTACTTAATAATCCCCCTTTTGAAGATTTATGTTGTTTCCAGTATTTTGGCAATTAAAAATAATGTTATATTCTTGATATGTCCTTCAAATTCCTAAGAGTAGAATTTTTAAGTCAAAGGCTATGGACATTTTAAGGAGCCTGTTAAAATGTATTTCAGGGCTAGCCAGTTAGCTCAGTTGGTTAGAGCACAACCTTACAACATCAAGGTCACAGGTTCGGATCCCCAAACAAGCCAGCCACCAAAACCAAAACAAAATGTGTTTAGGAATTACATTCCTAGAATAAGATTTAATATTTTCATATTAAATATTAATATGAAACTATTATTAACAACACCATTATTATAGGCATGGGGAAGGGGAAGCAGATGACAAGTTATGCTACCACAGCCTTTAATTCCTGCCCACCCCGAAAAGAGAGAGAGAGAAAATTCAGGCGACCTTACAAACATTACAAAAAGGTCAATGTGATCACTAGCAGCTATAAATGTTGCCATAAATGTCCTTTTTCTCCCCTAAAAAAATGGTGCTTTTCTAATGGGCTTATAGCTATCTTTCATTTGCTTGGTTCTATTTCTGGGTCTGGTTTCTTTCTTTGAAAAGAGAAGAAATTCTACTGCATCAGATTACAGAGAGAAACAAAAAGGAGACAGCAGGACTAGCAGGTCAAGGTGATAAAGAAAAATGCTCTTTCTCAGTTGTCAGGACCTTCCAAATGAGTGGGAAAAGTTATTTGTAAGGTAGAAATGTGACCTTACATTAAATCTTATGAAAGTTTTTGACAGTGTGGTCAAGGCTGCAAGCAGGATAATGAAAACTGACCTCCTCAAAACTTGTCCTCAGAATTTTGTATTCATTCAGAATAGAGCCCTCAATCACACACCAATATTCTTACAAATCTAACAGCAGCTAACCTTAATAGCCATACAAACTAATATTTCTCTTCCCTAATTCCTTTTTAAATTTTACTTATTTCTGTACTGCTCCTTTCTCACACACACTCGTCAGTTCATTAATTATTTCATACAAGTAAATCCTATCTCATAGAACAAAGAGCTTTAAATAGGAATCACCTAATAGATTTGGCTTTGGAATACATGAGTTTTTTTTATTTGTTTTTTTTTAAGCAGACTTGCTTTCCTAACTACAATTTTATTAAAATCAGTGGGTAATCCCCAAGGATAAACCAAATGGAAATAAAGTAAAAAATGATAATAAGATTGAGCTGTGGGAGAAGAAAAATGACCTGGTACTTTAAAACCACTAATGCACTAACAGCTTACAGCTGACTAAATACCATTCTACTCACGGAATGCTACTTTCATTTACAAAGTGGGGCTTCTAATTCACTTCCTCAGGGGAATGAGACAGTGCTCCGGATGTCTTACTTCCTTGCCCAGGTGTAGTCTTTTTCATTTTGGCCATTTTTTTTGTACGTAGTAGTGTTACACTATGGTTTTGCTTTGTAACGTAATGTTAACTCTGAGAAATTCAAAACATATCTGAGTTTCCTAAGTTGAATATAAAGTATACATTTATACTGAAACCTTGGTATTTTTATTGAATTCACTTACTTGTAAGTAATGTGACAAGAATGATGTATCCAGATGAGTTTGTTAAACCTCTGGTGGCCACTGGAACATAGTTGTAGTCCCACATGAAAACTCTGATCTGCTTCTTGTACGGGGACACGACGAAAATATCTGTATTTGTAGTCAAGTGGTTTCTGCAAAAGAAAAGGTACATGAGCTATATAATAAAACCATACTTCCCTTATATGAGTATAAATATTTACAAGAATATATTATGCAAGAGTGACACGAACCGTAACATAATAAACCTGCACACAATAAAGAGTTGTTTTGGATATCACATGAGAATGCATGAGTACCTTGAAAAATATTAAGTACTCTAAAAATATCATGTTTTTCCCCATCATCATCACCTTAGTTGATCATCATAATAATGCAGTCATGTTTAACACAGAGGGTTATTTCTATCTAATGGCTGAAGAAATGAAGATCCAGGGAGGTCAAATGAGTTAACCAAAGTTACACAGCAGTTTCAGTGACAGGAAGTAAAACTTCTGTCTCCTAACTCTAAGCCTAGTATCTCCTGCTAAAAAACGCTTGGTGTTTAACACAGAGGGTTATTTCTATCTAATGGCTGAAGAAATGAAGATCCAGGGAGGTCAAATGAGTTAACCAAAGTTACACAGCAGTTTCAGTAACAGGAAGTAAAACTTCTGTCTCCTAACTCTAAGCCTAGTATCTCCTGCTAAAAAACGCTTGGGAATTTTTTTTAAGATGGAAAGTGATAAATTTGTAAAGGATGCAGAAAAAGCACAGAGTATAACATCTTTTGCAATAACAGTAAAACAGTCAATGGAGAAATAGATGTGACAAGGTTCATTAGAATCACACTTCTGCAAATACTGCTGCTAAAAACAAAAATGTAAACACTATGGGCGCTTTCATTATATCATATGCTCAAGAGGAAATTGGAAAAAACAGTTTTTCCTCTATAGGAGAGTTCCTAAACTCTCTTATTAGATAAAACTTAAACAACTAGGGCCTCACAATTCCTGTCTTGACCTCAGAAAACTCATGATCACAGTCAAAGGAACGATCTCTGTCCCTCAGACTGCTGCCCCAGATTCCAGGAGCCTACCAGAGAGGTAAAGAGGCCAGCAACAGGTGACAGGACTTGCAGATAAAACCCAGCCCTGTCTCAATACATGATGCTTGGAAAGAGAGGGGATTTCATACAAAGGAAATTTCTTTCAAAAACTATTCATTGTAAAGGCAGTAGGCAAATTTTTATTCCAATTACCTCACAATTGACTTCATTGGATATATTACGGTTTTTAACCAGGATTAAAAAAGTGCATATTGAGAAAGGTTGTGAAAAAAATCAGGTCCTCTGTTAAGAGAATTTAAAGCACTTTAGAAAGTAATAATATCAGTAGTTATATTTGCTTGGCATTTTTTTCCTTTTGTAAGAATAGGAAGGAAACCATCTTACTTTAGCTTATTTCCAGTAGAAATTGAAGTCCTAAGATATCCTTGTGAAAGAATTACCTGTATGAGTTAATTTAGGAAGGAAAAAACCCCAAGATTCAAAATAGGAAGGGCCAAAGAACATATTCAGGTATAATTCTACTAATTATTCCATGGAGATTTTGGATTTCTGTTTTCATGTGCAAAAACATTAGACAAGAAAAGAACACCACCTGGAGAAAAACAAGGTGATCCAATAAAAAAAATAACCACATCTTAGAAATCGCTCCTACTCTCTTCAGAGATCTTCTAGAAGTTAACATACATTTTGTGTAATAGTATAATTAATGAAACAGTATTTTTTTATTCTTTCTAATCAAGAACGCTCGAGTAAATAGGGTACTGAAATAAGAAAAAAACTATTAATTCCACCTTTCATACTCACTTCTTCTTTTTTCTTAGTTATGACAGCAAATACTTTGGTCTGATTGTCTGTATCTTGTGACAAGCGATAATGACCCAGTAGAATTGCGTCAGTTCTAAAAAATAAAAAAATACACTTTAAGTATCTAAGTCTATTAATCAGTTATAATATGTACTTAAGTAACCCAGGACGTAATGAATTACAATAGTATTTCTCAACTCGACTGAAAAGAATCAGCTAGAATGTGAGTAAACCTTGATTCCAGGGCCCCAAAGACTTACTCAAATAGACACTCCAGGCAACGGCCCATGAATTGGTATTTTTCACAAGTGTCCCCCACCCCTATGACTGCCTTTTCAATCATCCAGTATTAAGAAAACACTGGGTAACATTAACCTGCAAGTAACTGTGCGAAATGTGGACTAGATAGAAAGCTATAAAAAATACTACCTGGTATTCCTAGTTCTTAAACGGGAAACAATGGACTGAGGCTCCTCAGGGGTTGTCAACATCATCACATGGCCATCAGGGAAGAATCTTATGTACCTAAGTAAAAAAAAAAAAAAAATCACCAAAACACACCACACATAAAGTAAAAGACATATCCTTATTTATCAGTACCTAAACCTGTTCATAGCTTTGAAACCAAACCTAAAACACGATAGGACAAAGAACTGATAGAACACCATTAAGACAAACTTGACTGAAAACCTATTACTCCAGCAACAAAGAATTAAAGGCGTTTTATTATCCTCCAGGGGGAACTGTTGAACTTAAGCTTTACTCACTGAATAAAAATTAGACATTGCTTGCAATGGTTAACATAAGTCTATTTCTCAAAGATTGTAATATCTGGTGAACAATAAGGTTGAATAAAAGCACAAGCTATTTAAAAAGGCAAATAACTATCCCAAGAGCAAAAGAGAAGAGCTCTAAAATATAAAATAAGGTAGAGGCTAGAAGGAATTATATAACTTATATTAACCTATTGGTTGTATGAGTGCAGTTCCTATGTTGTAACACCGGATGAAAATAACGAGTGCCATTTTGTGGTTAAATCAAAAGCAACAAAGAACAGATGTGGAAGTAACTAATAAACTAATACTCGGAGAGAATTTTCCACTCAGTTTACTACAGTTGTACCTGTAATATTCCACTTGGTGCCAGGCTCTATAGAAACCATCAAGAGACTGTTCCCCTTGACGGATATATGTAGTTTTACTGATATACACTCCTGTTAAAAAAGAAGATTTAAAGAAAAAAAACCTTAAAATTACAATCATATTACACATTTCTAGCTTTATTGTAGTTTCCTTTAATATGTTCCTAGTTCTTAGATCCATTATAGAAAATTAAAACTATGGATTTATCAAAACCAGCATTATGGATCACTATTTCTCCTGAGTTCTAAAGAGTTGAACTTACCATCAAACCTAACACGAGGCCGTTCTAAAAACATCTCTCTCCAGGATGCATACGGAACAAGTTTAATACAGCTTCTGCCCCAAACTTTCAAGCAGGCCAGACGCCATATTTCAGGGTCTCTAGGTAATAAAAGCACAACATCAATAAATATAAAAGGCTAAGTCCCTATACGCAGACATAAGTGTTCTTGCTATCAGCCATCTATTATTCAAGAAGTATTTGTTGAGCACTTGTGAGGCACTGTTCAAGGGCTGGGGAGAGACTTATGGACAAGACAAAGGCCCTGCTCTTTTACTGGTAGGGAAGCAAACTGAGAGAAAAGCTTCAGGTGGTATACTCAGTGCAAAAATCAACCAATAATATGCATGTTCAAAACAACATACTATACCCGACAAATATATACAAGTAAAACAAATAAAAACAAATCAACTGGCAAACAAAGCAGACCAAGCAGACGGGAATAATGGTGGTGAGGAAATAACAAATGTCTCAGATAGGGTGGCTGGGAAAGGCCTCTCTGGGAAGGTGACCATAATGATGAGGAAGAGTATCCCAGGCAGCAGCGACCACAAGGCCCTGAGGTGGGAGTGTGACTGGCAGACTCAACAAAGAGCTGCAGCAAAGTGCGCAAGGTGAGAAGTGGACCATGTGATAGAAGAGGTGGTCAGGGGCAGAGGAGGTCCTGTCTTGTAGGCAGGAAGGGCTACTCAAATCAGATGGATGCCACTGGAGGGTTCTGAGCAAGCTTTATGCTTTCAAAAGATCACTCTGGTGGTTTATGGAGAACATGCATTAGGGATATACAGGAGTGGAAATAGGGAGACCATGTAGGATGCCGCTGCATAATCCAGATCAAGTACAACAGAGACTGAGTCAGAATGGTAGTTGCAAAAGCGGTGAAATTGTCAGACTGGACATAAATTTTGAAGGTGGCACCAAGAAGACTTTGTTATAGAATAAGTGCAAAAAGCTAAGTAAAAGACATACTGAAAACTGACATGATTCTCAAGTTGTCCCTGTAGGTAGATGGTATGATCTCACACTTACCAAAAGACCTCAAGATGCCACGAAAATACTCTTAAACCTGATAAACCAATTCAGTAAAGCTGCAGGATACAAAATCAACACACAAAAATCAGCACCATTTCTATATACCAAAAACAAACTAGCTGAAAAAGTAATCAAGAAAGAAATCCCATTTACAATAGCTACAAAAAAAAAAAAAAAAGTACCTAGGAATAAATTTAACCAAGGAGGTAAACAGTATCTACAATGAAAACTATAAAACAATGATGAAAGAAATTAAAAAGGACACAAAAAAATGGAAAGACATTTCATACTCATGGATTAAAAGAATAAATATTGTTTAAATGACCATACAAAGTGATCTACAGATTCAATGCAATCCCTATCAAAATACCAATGACATTCTTGACAGAAGTAGGAAAAAAAAATCCTAAAATTCATATGAAACCACAAAAGACCCTAAACAGCCAAAGCAATTTGAGTTGTTTAAATGACCATACAAAGTGATCTACAGATTCAATGCAATCCCTATCAAAATACCAATGACATTCTTGACAGAAGTAGGAAAAAAAATCCTAAAATTCATATGAAACCACAAAAGACCCTAAACAGCCAAAGCAATTTGAGCAAAAAGAACACAGCTGGAGGCATCACACTACCTGACTTCAAAATATACCACAAAACTATAGTAACCAAAACAGCGTTGTACTGGCATAAAAACAGACACATGGACCAATGGAACAGAATAGAAAATCTAAAAATAAACCCACATATACACAGCCAACTGATTTTTGACAACAGTACCAGGAACATACACTGGGGAAAGGACATCTTCTTCAATAAATGGTGCTGGGAAAACCTGATATCCATATGCAGAAAAATGAAACTAGACTCCTATGTCTTGCCATATACAAAAATCAACTCAAAATGGTTAAAGTCTTAAATGTAAGAGCTGAAACTATAAAACTACTAGAAGAAAACACAGGGGAAACACTTCAGAATGCTGGTCTGAAGATTTTATGGTTAAGACCTCAAAAGCACCGGCAACAAAAGCAAAGATAGACAAATGGGATTATATCAAACAAAAATCTTCTGTACAGCAAAGGAAATAATCAACAGGATAAAGAGGCAAAGAATGGGAAAAAATATTTGCAGACTTATCATCTGATATAATATACAATGAACTGATTTCAACTCAACAGCAAAAAATCCCAAATAATCTGATTTTAAAAACGGGCAAACAATATGAATAGACATTTCTCAAAAGAAGTTACACAAATGGCCAACAAGTATGTGAAAAAAAGTACTCAACATCCCTAATCATCGGGGAAATGCAAATCAAGACCACAATGAAATATCATCTCACTCCAGGTAGAATGGCTATTATTAGCATGACAGAAAATAAATGCTGATGGATGCAAAGAAAAGGGAACTCTTATACACTGTTGGTAGGAATGTAAATTAGCACAGCCATTATGGAAAACAGTATGAAGATTCCTCAAAGGGCCAAAAATAGAACTACCATATGATCCAGCAATCCCACTACTGGGCATATATCCAAAGGAAATCAGTACGTCAAAGAAATATCTGCATTCCCATGTTTACTGCAGCACTATTCATAATAGCCAAGATAGGAATCAACCTAAGTGTCCATCAACAAATCAATGAATAAAGAAAATGTGTATATATACACAATGGAATACTATTCAGTCATAAAGACAGTGAAATCCTGCCATTCATGGCAACACGAATTAGCCTGGAGGACATTACGTTAAGTGAAATAAGTCAGGCACAGAAAGAGAAATACCACATGTTCTCATTCATATGTGGAAGCTAAAAAAGTTGATCTCACAGCATTAGAGAGTGTAATAGTGGTTACTAGAGGCTGGGGGTGGGTAGGGAGATGTTGGTTAAAGGACACGACATTACAGCTAGATGATAGCAGGAACAAGTTCTAGTGTTCCATAGCACTGTAGGATAACTATAGCAAACAATAATTCATTTCACTTTTTTAAACAGCTAGAAGAGAGAATTTTGAACATTACCAACACAAAGAAATGATAAAGATTTGAGGTGATGGATATGCCAACTACTCTGATTTGATCACTATACACTGTATGCATGCATCAAAATATCACACTGTACCCCCAAAATACATACAATTATGTATTAATTTAAAAAATTAATTTAATTTTAAAAAATGGTCAAAATGGTGTTATGTAAAAACAATTTACATGATTCTGATACAGCTCAAAATATTTTTAACTCCATCCGTAACTTAAAATATTCAGTTTTATTTGTTTTTTTTTTTGTTTGTTTTTCCTTTTTTTTTTTTGTCTTTTTTCATGACCGGCAACAGATTGCAACCCTCAGTGTTGCGCCCGTACCGGACATTTTTCCTTTTTTTTTTTGTCTTTTTTCATGACCGGCAACAGATTGCAACCCTCAGTGTTGCGCCTGTACCGGACCGGGACCAGCAACGGGATCACAACCCTCGGTGTTGCGCCCGCACCTCGCTCAGCCAGTGAGCGGCTGGTCTGTATGTGGGATCCGAACCCTCGGCGGGAGCGCCGCCGCGCTTCCCAAGCGGCGCACTGTAGCAGTGCGCCACCAGGCCGGCCCCAAAATATTCAGTTTTAAAGAAGCAAAAACTACTTATATTGGTGTCAGACTGTAAAACATAAACCCCTGAAGTTTATGTTGAAATATGTAATTAAAATTTTTTCTTTTAACAATTACTTTTAGTTTATGAGGACACAAAATTTTTATTACTGAAAATTTGCTTAACCAATTCCTTCTTTACCATGTATTCTCATTTACAATTAAAAGTTAATGGAATAACAATGCTAGAGACCCCAATTTCAAAAGGTTGGTGGCAATCCACTAGGTGCTTAATAGGTGCTTGTTAAATAGAATCACCAAAGACAGAGGCTTCAAGCAATTCAAATATTTTATGCAAAATCCAAGATTCCAAATGAAATTTAAAAACAATACATATGAATTTTAAGAGCTAAAGTTATAAAAGATTTCTAGATGCTAAGGACTAAGTATATATTTTTATATAAGACACTCAAGATAGACTACTGACCAAATGATTTTATATTAAACTTTGTTTATTCTTCATGGAGTAAGATTTTTAAAGTACAGAATAACTTTTAATGGGCCAAAAGGAAATTCTGGTGTGATCTAAACTTAAATCATAACCTCTTAGTGGGTTCAGAATTAATGTAAAAATGACTTGAATATATTTTTCTAATATAATTCTTCTTTCCAAATCAGCCAAGCTAGCATGCAAACATTATGAAAGTAGTATGTATGACTACCTCCGTTCTACATATTATTCTATATCCTGGAAACCTACCAATTCTAGCCTTTTAAATGCTATATTATTTGAGAAAATCACGTTAAGTATAGCCTAGCAGAACTTCTGTTCATTCTAAGCTGTTACCCAGAAAATCAATCAAATTCTTTTATCAAAATTGGCAAAAGACCATAATCTTTCTTTACACTACTGCCTGAGGCATTTAAAAAAAAAAAAAGGAGTACCTGGCACAGATATAGAATCCTCTGCACACCAGGGACAACTGCTCTAATGACCTGAGGTCTAGTTCACTAGACACCACCCATCGGAAGATGTACATCAGGACTTCCATTGGCAGCACTGCAGAAAAAAATAAAATCCTTCAATGGCTCTTTTACATGTCATTCTACTGTCACAACCACACTCTCAGAGCATTTATATATTCCCAGAAATTATAAATTTATAAGTCATACCTCTCAGTATTGCTCAGAGCTACAACATGAGTGTATTTAACTACCCAATAGTAATTAGTGGTTCCTAACATCAAGACACAAATATCTTTGTTTTTTCAATATAGAATGGATCTGAAATTACTTTTAAAAAGTACCTCTTTCCCTTACAAGATTATTTTATCACCAAGATATATTAAAATAAATGTGTTAGAAAAATAGTACAGCAATTATAACTAAATCTCCCACCATACTCTGAACTAGGGCAGCAATTATCTGGCAAATTATTTGACACTGTAAGTTTGGAAATCTTCAATCTAAGGTTAAAGTATTTCACACTGAGTTATACAAACCAAGAATTCACACCTGATATGTGAGTCTGACTGCTCTCGAGCTCTGGCTGACACAGTTTGAGAACAGATTCCTGAAATGTGAGTTGCTGCTGGAAGTAGGACAAGAGATCTACCATCTTGCTATCATCATCTTCATCATCATCATCTTCAGTGCTGAAAAAAGGAGTGAATAAATTAAGTGCTTCAGTCTACAAACATACGGTTTAGAAAGTGATTTTTCATAGCACTTTCAAATCTGCTTTAGAAAAAGTCACCTAAAAGCAAACTTTCTTACTACATTCTAAAAATGTGATAATAGTTTATCCTGTCTTGCAAAGGAATACCATACCAAGTTTTTCAAAGAGCAAAGCTTCAGTAATCACCACCCAGAAAGAATTAGAATTTTTGGAAACAGGTTTTGAAATTTAGTAATTAGTTTTATTGTAGAGATTTCATGAGTTGGTAAAAAAATTTAAATGATTTGAAAATCTTACGTAAATAAAATTTTTAAGTGGTCTTAATCCATTCTAACTGGATACAAATTAAATATACAGATGTCATCTTACTTACCAGGTGTTCTAACAGATGTGCCTTAACTTACCACCCTACCTTTACAGAGGAAAATATTTAATTAAAAAAAAATCTTAGGGTCCACAAATTATCTATCAGCATACACAAATGTGTAGTTAAGAGTTCTAGAAAAATGTCTACCTTTCCATTTTTGCTAAAGTTAACCTTAAGGATGATCAGACTTACAAAAAGGCTTGGATGAGAATGAAGTTAGAAAACCAGGAAGGGCTTTTTATAACAACAAAAGTCAAGTGTGGTTGAGACTAGATAGGCTCAATGGCTATTCTATATTTTACAGAGGAAGGTAATAAAACAGCAAAGAAACTTTTAGGGCTTATCAGATCTGGCAAGAAAAAAATGACTGTATCTTTAAAAAACTTTCATAGCATCTGGGTTTGTATAAAAGGATGGGAGAGAAAAGAAATACTTTGTTTTAAAACAAACTTTCTTAACACCTGGCACCTGTTTATAAAACTGGCTACGAGCTGGGTCTAAATGACTCTACCCCAATTGTTTTTTTCCTACTCGAATTTAAAGGTTTAGAAAAAGCCCAAATGATGCATTTTAAGTACAAACTACTTCACACCATTAAACTCTAATTTGGTGAATGGTATTAACTGAAAAGTTTAAAAATGCTAATTAATACTGACTTTACTGAAATATTTTTAAAACAGTAAAGGCCCCTTAGATGTTCAGAATCTTGTAGAGCATTTGATGTAAACATGCACGGGCACCCCACGTTCCTTGGCTATTGACTAATGTAACTGTGCATGTGCACCCAGATGTCCTAGATTATGGACTTAAGTATAAAGGACGAGTGGCTCTGATCCAAGGGGCCCTCCACCCCCACAATGCCGCTACTGCTGCTGGAGGCTGTTGCTGCCAGGACCCTCCGAAAGGCCGCTGCCGCTGGACCTGTAAGCCACTGCTGCCATTGCTGAGGACTGAGCTCATGTCGTCTGCCAACGGCTCCCAGGATCTTTCCCAATTACCTAGTGTGGACCTACGTGTGAAGGGTTTGTGACCCAGTCTGTACAACAGGCTTGAAGGGTCTGTGAGCCCTAGCCCTATCAATACACTTATCCAAAGCTTAAGTGTTAATACCATATGCAGTTAAAAAACACTGGCAATAAGCATATATTATTAATAAAGGTAACTTCATTATTTCATGACAGAAGCAATATAATAGCTAATATCTCATTACCAAAACTATTTTTCTATGTATTGACCACTTTCAACTTGACATTCTCATGGGTACAGACTCTCTTCCTTTCTAATATCAGCAGACTGGGCTTCTGGGGCTAGGATTAAGCCAAAACAATTTTATTATTGCAAATAGCTTCAAAAGTATTGGCTTAAAAGTATGTTCTCTTGATCTTTGTCCATATAAAACCATCAGTGCTAAGTCACGACTTTGCAAGAGGCAACTATGCAATAACACATGCTTTCTTTTAGTAATGCTGACATCCTACACCTGTGATTCTGAACAAATGTCATTTTAAAGTTTTAATAATGTTCTACCTATATACATTAAGATAATAAAGTCAACATTCTCCTTATAAAATTAAAAACCTCTTTTAAAAATGTAAAGTTAAGTACATACAAAAGGAGAGAGACTAGAGCAATGACATCCCACGTACCCATCACCCATTTCAACCATAATTAACATTGTTACCTTTGGCCTAATTAGTTTAATACTTTCTACTTCAAATAGATTTCAGAAAGTTGAAATGTCTTTTAATTTACTCCTAGTAATCACACTGCTTTTATAAAGGAAAACTTTTTCATCATCTTATTTTTATCTCTATTTAAAATGTGCATTTCTATATTTTAATCTTAAAATTTCCCGAATTAAAAAATTTCTACAACTTCATAAACAAGGATATTATTAAAGACTATATAACTTAACAGAGTTACCACCATCTTCTTATGTTAAGAGTCAACAGGGCAAAGACGCTTAACTTTAACAAAGTCTATGCATTACTGTCTGTCAAATTATATACGCACTAGCTGTTTCCAACGCCATCACCATCTGGAGACCGGGTATAAGTAATCTTGAATTCTATATCAGGTACAAGTTGCATAGCCCTACGATAAAACTTGATGGCTAAAAAAAGAAATAAAGCTAAATTAGCTATGACCACACATTTCTATCATTTCCTTTGGTTACTCTTAACTGTGGTTTAATTTGGTAACTTTCTTTACAAACACCCAAATTCCCCTTCTCTACATGCAACAGTAGTTCAGTGAACAAACTTATTTCCAAACCTTACTGCTCCAAAACTTGCTTCTAAAGCTAACGTATTATAGAAACTTAAGATGCTGTATTTTACTCAACTTTTAGTCCTTCCCATCTTTTTCCTCACCCTCTTATGCATCTTCAGAAGTGAGCTTATGTGCTGTCTTTAAGCTCTGAAAATGCAACTGCTATAGCTCCAAGAAAAACACTTCTAAGCAAACTTTTCTTTCTATAGGACACAGAGTTGAGGAAAAGCAAATGCTTTCTAGGGGGCGGAATAAAAAGAATTTTGTTATTCTTCAAATTCAACTTCCTTTAGCCCAGCTGCCTCTAATTTAGCTAAATAACCTTTAACACCTGTTTTTTTTTTTTTGTCTTTTGTCTTTTTTCCGTGTCCGGCAACGGATTGCAACCCTCAGTCCTCTAATTTAGCTAAATAACCTTTAACACCTGTTTTTAAAAATATCTCCTGGCCAGGTGATTTAAGGCTGTAACAGTCAATGGCCACCGCACTTCCCAAGCGGCGCACTACAGCAGTGCGCCACCGGGCCGGCCCTTTAACACCTGTTTTTAAAAATATCTCCTGGCCAGGTGATTTAAGGCTGTAACAGTCAATCTCTCTCCACAGAGATGTACCAACAGAACTTTGGGCTGTTCAGGCTGACCAGTTCTTTTTCCTTGGATGAAGTCTATTCAATTCAGTATATTTTGCTATGTTCTATTATTCTGGGTGAATTACCACACACTAACTGGAGATGGGAATCCAAACTAATGAAGACTGCACAGGGACTTGACCAATTGGGCCCTTTTAAAGTCTAAGTAAAAATATCACTAGAAGAATCTTGCAGATAAATGCAATAACTCTGAATAATGCTATTCTGGGGGCATTTTCAAATGATTCAAGCACAAGCATTTTTCCCATGCCCCAATTATTATCTTTACCATCACAAAATGAAGGCATAATTACAAACTTAATAAGATAAACAGTCCTATCACTTTGTTACTTACACATTTTTATTGGGTTAATAAAAGACAAAGCTGAAGCACATTCCTTTTGGTAAAATGTAAATTAGAACTTAGAAAACATCTATATGTTCCTCAATTTATTCTTTATGTTCCCTGCCTCTGAAGTAATTTTCACCTATAAAAAAAAGAGTATCCTATTTTAAAATGAATAACAATTTAACTTTATTAATGAAGAACTAATAAATACAAAAACTAAATGAAGAAAAATGTTATTTTATTCATCCTACCAATATGATGATGTTTCCCAGCAATATTTTTATTTCCAAAAAATATTGCTGGGAAACATAATATTGTATTATGCTCTAATATTGTATTCCTGATTGCTCCAGCAACATTTTTTGGAGCACTTTCAGGTTATGTAGAAATGCAATTTCTATTTTTGAACTTTTAAAAAACAATTTCAAATAAAGGGAGACTGATATTCTATACCAAATTTGTTCTAGCTGAAAAAAAAAAAAAAAAAGGTCAGTAACAAGAGTTGTTATCCAGACATGTCATGACAATATGATCCAGTGCCCTGAGTTTTTACCTTCATAGAGAGCTCCATTTTGTTCTTCTTCTACTGCTTTTAGAAAGAGTTTTCGAGCCTATAAAAATAAAAAGTGAAACAATTTTTAAAAACCTGTATTAAAAATGAGTATGAATGGTAGGAGAGACTTTTTCACAAATGGTACTGGAACAACTGAACACCATAGACAAAATAATAAATCTTGACCTCATACCTTACATAAAAATTAACTCAAAATAGATCATGGACTTAAATGTAAAATATAAAGCCTATAAAACTTTTAGAGGAAAAACAAAACAAAAAACAAACAAAAAAACTCCTAGGACTAAGCAAGGAGTTTTTATATTTGACACCAAAAGCACAATCCATAAAATAAAAAGTTGATAAATTGAACCTCATCAAAATTAAAAACTTTTGCTTTGCAAAATGCCCTATTAAGAGGATAAAAAGAGAAGCTACAAACCGGGAGAAAATATTTACAAGCCATACATTCAAAGGACCTGTATCTAGAATACATAAAGAACTCTCAAACCTAGCAGTGAAAACATAAGCAATCCAATTAGAAAAGACATGAGCAGATATTTCACAGAGAAGATATACAGGTGGGAAATAAGCATATGAAAAGATATACAACATCATTAGCCATTAGAAAAATGCAAATTAAAATCACAATGAGATATCACTGCACGCCTATTAGAATGGCTAAAATTAAAAAGTAGTTACAACACCAAATGCTGGTGAGGATACAGAGAAACTGGATCACTCATAGGTTGCTGGAAGGAACATAATATGGTACAGACACTCTGGAAAACGGTTTGGCAATGTATCTTAAAACCAAATGTGTACTTAGCATAGAACCTAGCAATTTCACTCTTGGGCATTTATCCCAGAGAAATGAAAATTTATGTTCATGCACAAACCTGCACACAAATATCCATAGCAGCTCTGTTCATAGCAGCCAAAAATTGGAAACAACTCAAATGTCCTTCTACTGGTCAATGGTTAAATAAACTCAGGTACATATACACCATTCAATACTACTCTGCAATAAAAAGGAACAAACTACTGACAAACAGGACTTGCATGGATCTCAAGGGAATTATGCTGAGTAAAAAAAGTCAGTCTCAAAAGGTAACATACTGTATGATTCCATTTATACAACATTCTTAGAAAATCGAAATTATAAAAATAGAAAACATATCAGTGGTTGCCAGTGGTTAGGAATGGCTGGGGAAGAAGGGGGAAGGGAGAGAATAACTATAAAGATGTAGCATGAGGGAGCCTTGTGGTGACGAAATTGTCCTGTATCTTGATTGCAGAGGTAGTTACACATGTAATAAAATTGCTTAGGACTATCTATACAGATACAGAGAGATGTTTTTTTTTTTTTTTTTTTTTTTTTTTTTTTTTTTTTTTTTTTTTTTTTTTTTTTTTTTTTTTTTTTTAAAGATGACCGGTAAGGGGATATTAACCCTTGACTTGGTGTTGTCAGCACCACGTTCTCCCAAGTGAGCTAACCGGCCATCCCCATATAGGGATCCAAAACCATGGCCTTGGTGTTATCAACACCACACTCTCCCAAGTGAGCCACGGGCTGGCCCAGAGATAAGTGTTTGTAAACCCAGGAAATGTGAATAAGCTCTGTGGATTGTACCAATATCTATTTCCTATTTTGATATTGTACTATAGTTATGCAAGATGATACCATCAGAGGCGGCCAGATGAAGGATGCATTGGACTTCCCTCTATCTGTGAACCTGCAATTATTTCAAAATAGAAATTAAAACAAAAACAACTACGGAAGACTTTATTCATAGGGTAATGTCAACTAGTGACTAATTGTCTGTAAACGAAACTTCAATCTGATGGTGTTAAGATGATAGCCTCTATGGAAGAGGCAAATAAGGCAAAAGTGAGCTGATGAGCTATGCCTACTCCATGTGAGTAAGTACCAGGAGAGGTGACAGCACTCAAAGTGTTTTCAGTGTTCTTTCAAAATTTTCCATGATAAAGAAATGATTAATGCATCACTGTAACTTGATTAACTCAAAATATAACAAAATACTTCATTAAGAACTTTGAACAATTTTTTTTTTCCTTTTGGCTTTCTATTAATAAATTCAGAGGCAACAGTATCTTAGAGACGAAGTGAATCTCAGGGTCTATAAGTTAACAAAAGACAGTTCTATGAAGACAGTACACCCATAACAAAAGAAGCCATGTGGAGTGGTGGTACCATCTGAAGTACCCAGAAGTATTAGTGAGGAATATATAAACTGGTATAATAGCCAAAATTTTTCTATGAGGACAATTGTTTTATTTTACAAGTTATATGCTATGTCACCAGAGTACAGGTATAATGATTACCTACTCATGCCACTGAAAATTTCTATGTGCCCCCCCAAAAAAAGGTAATTTGTTACAATGTCTATAATACTTAACTTTTCTTCTTTTGCCAGTTCTTGTTTTCCTTTGGTATCTGCTGCTTTCAGTAAAGAGCCTCTTGCTGCTCTGCAAGATCGAGTTTCTAAATTGCTAGAGCCTACACCAGGAGCAAGTTCAAACATCCACTGAGCTCGAAACATCTGGAGTTGTGCCTAAGGGGAGAAAAGTATTTAAGGATCCATCAAGGAAGGGTAGCTTAGCTCTGGAACAGCTTATCAATATATCCAACATCTATTTCCATGTATATACTTATTTTCAAAGACCAGAAAACACTGTCTTTTAATTTACTAAATTAATACCCATTAAACGTCTATTATCTTTTAAAATAATTTTCTGCTTAAAACTTTAAAGAATCATGAAAATTAGCCTAAAATAGGTCTTTTTATATAGCAAAAGTCTAATGGTATTGCTGAAACAAATTTTAATTAAAATTCCAAATGTAAGCCATCACTTAGGGACTGAACTTAAAATTTCTAATAATTTGTTAATGAATGCATCATCTTGTAGACATTAAGAACACTGCTCAAAAATTCTGTAGGCGAACCTAAAGTCTTTCTTTCAATAAACATTTTGTATTTCAACAAGGAAATATTTTTTCTAATACATATAATTAAAAAAAAATTAAAACAAAGAAAAAGTAAAGTCCTCCTGAATGGTGGTCTTGATGTGCTGCCCAGATTCCCCCTCATGAATAAAAACTTTGTTACCTCAACTGCTGGGAGTACTACCTGAAAACAGCCCTGAGTTGTCAGCCCTTTTGGCTATTGTCTCAACAAGCTCACCCCACCTTCCCAATCCCCACCCAATGACTGAACAATGGCTGATAAAGACCTCTCTCACTGCAACTCAGGCCAGCTCTGAAAGGTATTCCATCTTCAGAATTCTGGAGGGATTGGCTAAGGCAGTCCATTAAGACTGCACTGAAGCTGGACTTCTCTCCCTGCTCACTCCTGCTTCCCTTCCTTCCTCCCTTCCATGAGCACTGATCCCAAGAGAGTTTTCTAAAGAGGATCTCTAATAAACCAAATAGAATCCAAGCTGGGATATCCCTCCTCCCAAAGATGGCCATTGCTAATAGAACTGTATATATTATTCCTGGTTTCCTTCTTTTTAAAGATACATGTTTAAAAATATTTAAGCATAAGATATATGTTTTTAAAATTTTTCTTTAAATTCTGTTTTCTGTACACTCTTTTGGTTCTCACACTCCTATTTCTAACGTGTTGCACATATTTCTCTGACCTACAGAATCTTTAGCAGCATTCATTATTTACTAGACAACGCATCTCAAATAAACAAGTATTATAAATCTTATAAATTTGGTGAGATGCACTTATCCAATTACAGTGACGTTTTTCCTATTTCAAAACAGAGATTTACCTCTTCCTTTTAAAGGGCTGCAGTTTAGTTCACAGTATGGACGCATTACTAATTAACACGAATCATGGATATTTAGATTGTATGACATTTTTCCATATAAACAATGCTATAATAAACATCTTTGCACATGCATATTTATTCACTTCCCCCATTGTTTCCTTAGGATTAATTTCCTGGAAGTACAATTGCTGTATCAAAGGAAATGCATGTTTTTCATTTTGATCCATATTGTTAGTTTGTCCTCCAGAAAAGTTGTAGCAATTTACACTTTCATGTACTTTGGGTGAGTGTTCTCACAGCCTGGTCAGCAATGGGCATTATTCACCAATCTGATTAAATTATTAATGAGACTAATTATCTCTTCAAATGTTTGATGGCCATGTATATTATTTTTCCCATTAACTGCCCATTTATATCTACCCTGTGCTCCACTTACTAATTTATGAGAGCTCTATATACCAAGTATATCAATCTTCTGCCCATATGTGGTAAATAGTTTTCTGACTGACTATCTCTCATTTCTGGTGCCTTTTGTTATTTGCACATTTTAAACTTTTAAGCAGTCAAACCTGTCAATCTTTTTCTTTAAGTTATGGGTTTTGAGTCATGCTTAAGCCTTAGTTTGAATATTTTAAACCCATATATTGAACTACATAGCCGCAAATATTGCTATTTCTTTTTACGGAAATGAAACCCATAACATAGTTTAAGTATTCTACAAACCAGTACGAAAATACAGTTAATGTAAACAAGAACCTACAAATCTCCAACTTCAACTTATGTATGGGAAGTAATGGAATAAGAATTATATATACAATTAAAGAAACATGCCTGCAGATCTGTTTCAGCAGAGCTTTCATTTTCACCATCCTCTCCTGCTCTGACAGTATCAGAATGACAATCTTCCTCAGCTTCTGCCTGAGGAAAAAAATCCAAATAACATTAGAAGTATACAAGCACTAGTTTCCCTTTGTAATCTGTATCTCCTAGTCAGCTATTTAAGCACCATAAAGTCAACACTTTTTGTGAAGCCCACTTTGAGCACCAAGGCTGTAGGGTGCATTTGGAGTCTATTTCTACCCCCCCCCCAAAATGTGAAAAGCATATCCTCTACTCTGAACCACAGTATTAATATCACCATGAATCTTAACATTTTCCTACAAAATTTAACAGCAATTCCATTCATCCAAAAAGCAATCTAATTATATCGAAAATAACAATTCAAGTCCATTACTATTCATAAACGATTTGATACGATTAATGTAATTGGGTAAATGAAGCAAATTCCTCCTTATACATCATGTAACTATTTACTGACAATCTACAATAAATATGTTTTTTTCTTAGAAAAAGATGAAATAAAATAGGATATTTTTAGTTTTCTCTTTTAGTTCTACAATAAAGTGTTTTATGAGAAAAATATTTAAATATATACAAAGGAGAACAGTGTAATTAATCCCCAAGTACTCATGACCCGACTTCAATAATTATCAATGTAAAAAAATAATTCCTTAATATCAAATAGCAAGTCACAGTAATATTTCTCAAAATGTCATATGTAAAATACATATTTTAGTTTGTGAAATCCAAATATAAATGAAGTCCACATATTGCAATTGGTTGGTATGTCTCAATGCTTGGAATCCTCTCCTCTCACTCTTTTTCTTATAATTTGTTTGTAATGAAACTGGGTCATTTTTCTGTAGGGTCTAGATTTTGCTGAAGTGTCGGTAAATATGTTCCTTTGCTCTCTTACTTTCTGTAAACTGTAGTTGGATCTAGAGAGGCTTGGTTAGATTCTGGTAAGATTTTTTCTGGCAAGACTACCTCTTAGGTGGTGGTGTGTTTTCCATCAGGAAGAGAAGTGTTCTGAAATGCAGCTGACAAAGTACTTCGGCAGATGTTCCAAATATAAATGAACCTAACTGAGGCAAAAAAAACCACCCAAATAATTTTAGTGTCCATAAACTTCGGCAAACAGCAAAACAGAAAATACTATAATGTTTCAGGCCAATGAAATATAGAGTTGCTTCTCTAGGTATCTTCTTCACAGGTAAGTTTAATGATACCAATCAGATAAAATTTGATAGTTTATTTTTTTTTTAATTCTGTAGAATAAACAACTCCACTGGGCTCCAGTTAAAATGTTTTTGTAGGTAGTTAAAAAGAATAACTTTGCTTCAGAAAATAACATTTAGTTGTAATACAGAGTTCAGCAAATAGTTTTTGTTTCATGAATCACTTAAAAGACTATAGAAAGGGGCCGGCCCGTGGCTCCCTTGGGAGAGTGTGATGCTGATAACACCAAGGCCACGGGTTCAGATCCCTATATAGGGATGGCCGGTTAGCTCACTTGGGAGAATGTGGTGCTAACACCACCAAGTCAAGGGTTAAGATCCCCTTACCAATCATCTTTTAAAAAAAAAAAAAAAAAACATAGAAAGATGTCCCTTCTTTTACACGTCTGGCATGTTGTTAAACACGCTCAATGTGAATATGACTTCTGTTTATTATTAATATTTAAAATGTGGTAGGAAAGCTCATTAGTCAAAGACTTGTAACTGAATACTTTTGTAAAGAAGCACCTTCTATTTTTAAAATTGTGAATCCAATTTTATAAAGCTGGACTGGAATTACTGTGTATGGCTTGGGGCTTGATAAGGTCTCAGGTCAGATTCCTTCCATTTTATCCTTTTATTCTCAACAAACGTTTGCAAAATTAAACTTAATCCTACTTTCCAGTGAAAACGAAATGTTGCTTCAGTTCAGTCTGTTAGCTAACAGACCTATTAGCAAATGGAACTTGCTCAACATTTAATATTTTCAATCCTATAAAGAAATGTGGTGATCAGGGAAATGACTCTAAAGTTTAGCTAGAAATAATAAAACCAATTTAATTTCACTAGTTCCAATATAAGTTTTACAATTGCAAATTTTCACTGTAAGTTATTTCCAGGGGAAAAAAAATGTTTATATTAACACAGATCATTGGACACAGCAACCAAATATACTTGCACTATATTACATTTAAGCCTTACTTTCTATCTTATCTCTGGCAACCAGACTTAAAACAGAGGTACCTTTAAGATCCAAACTAGTTAGCATAAGGTAAAACATTCAGCATACTAAAGAATAAGCCGATGAAGAAGTATACAAGAGGCCAAGATAAATTTACAGAAAATGGAAAATTTAAGCATTAATGTTTTGTCAAATACATCTTTTAAAGTCCCTTTAAGTTGGAAGCTGCTGTGGATTGGTTGAAATGTGTCCCCTAAATTTCATATATTAGAAGCTTAATTTCCATTTTAACTGTTGAGGGTGGAAAATCCTACTACGGTAATTGAAGGTGGGGCCTTAAAGAGGTGATTAGATTGTAGGACCATGCCATAGTGAATGGGTTAAAAATGGTGGTCATAGGTGTGATTTGGAGGGTTTTAAGAAGAGAGTGAACAGCCTCTGAGTTAAACTGATAAAAATCTAGTATTGTATCAACACCATGCCAGGCTGATAATAGGAGCTCAAAAAAAATTGGTTGAATTAATAAAATGTCATGTGTATATGTAATGAATATCTTAAGGATGAGGAATGGACACAGCAATTTTTTCTTCCCTGAGCTGTATTATAATAGAGTTCTATCCATTACTTGATTTTGATAGTATGATCACAAAAAAACTATCAGATTTGGGTATTACCACATTTAGTCAACTCAAATACGACCTGAAATAAGTAGGCCTTCGGTTGCCACCCAGAGGTTTTCACTTTATTTTTCATAAGAGTTCGCCCTAAATGTCACCTTTCAATTAAGTAGTTCATATATTTGAGTAGCTCATCTTCATCATTTTGTTTCACAGGTGGAATAATGAAATATAAAGGTTAAGTGCTTAATCCCGTTCACAGAACTACTGAAAGTTTACAGGCAGAGTCAATTTGTGCTTTTTTCTACCCTCCAGGTTAATTTCATAAAATTCATTCACTCAGGCATCCAATTATTCAATAAATATTTGAGAGTCTTCTATAAGACAATTTAGTATTATTTCATCCTCAATTAATTCAGCCCTAGCCAGAGATTAATCTCTCAGATGCACTATTCGAAGCCCAACAAAGGCAAAGGACAGAGACTACATATTCTAGTGTGCAACAGTCCCATGGAATTTGTGCTGTCAACTTCTGCAGCTTAGCTGTCCCTTCAGACTGCACAGAAGCTGCTCAGGCCCTTGCTGCCATGAAGTGAGACTCGATCCCTCCAACCCCTCTCCGCCAGGACCAGGACCGCCTGCCAACTTCCTACCCAGGGCACTGACGCCTCGCGGGCAGGTGCGTCCTAAACCCAAGGCTTCCTAAGGGGTGGGAACGTCTCTCTGTGGGCCCGGCTTTCCAGAAGAGGTGCAATCAACAAGTGTCTCTGTTTGCAAGGGCTCACTCCCGAATTCAGATGCTGCGACAGCTCACCCCAACCTACACTAACTGCTTTTGATAAAATCCCTCTAAGGGGCTAGATTCGTTCAACCTCCTCAGTAAGCCGAGAAAGGGCACTTTTTTCGGGCCGTCTTGCAACCCTCTTCTTTTCTCACCGAGTCCGACTGCGGGGTTCGGCAAGAAAGAACCCTGGGGAGCTGTCAGGGCTGGCATCCCTTCCACTCTCTCTCAGGCCAGGGCTCCTGAGGCTGCCATGCAACTCCCGCTCCTCCGAGTCTCCCCTACCCGCTCCCTTGGGCCCCCACCCCCAGGCCTGGCCGTTCCCCGCCCTGCAGTGTCCCCTAGAAACCCCCCTTCCCAGGTTACCATGCTGGCGGGGCTGCCGGCCGCGGTCTAGGGGCTCTCCGAACCCCCTCTGCACCGTCCTCCGAGGAGGGGTGGTGGGTGTCCGGGTGTCTACTCCTGCCTGTCTGCTGCAGCGGGACTTAGCAGAGTTCTCGGTCGGAGAAGCGCACCAGGCAGCGGCAGTAACTGCGGGCCCGGCGTACGGCAGCCATCTTCGTAGGGCAGGGGGCCAGATCGGGGCGCGCTGGAGCGGCTGCCGTGGACCGGGGAGCGGAGGGACACCCGCTGCCAGGAAAGGCCGAGGACTTGCGAGCACCGCAGCGTCTGCCCTGCTGGATACCCCGGACGCCCCGGCGGAGCTGCCTCTGATGCTGCGGAAACCTGCGCCGACGCACTGAGCACGCGCAGTGACGTCAACGCCTGAAGGCGCGACCCGGCCCCCTGGACGCGCGCGCCGTCTAGAGGTGGACGAGAGGAGTGGGTCCGCTGTGTGCGGCTGCTAGTTCGCGGAACCTCAAACGCAGCCCATGTATTCGGCGCAGCGAACACTTAGGCAAAGTTGAACAAGCGTTATCTCAAAAGTGTTTGTAAGTCAAATTTAAAGTTGAGCCCCTTAGGCAAGCCGCCCTGAGGAAAACTAAACTGGACGCTCCGGACGGTCTCTACGCGGTCCGCGGCTCTGGCTACAGTCCTAGGATTGCGGGGAAACAGCGAAACTCCACAGCAGTCACAGGCTCTTACAACGACTGAACTTTCTTACAGTGCACAGAGAAGGCAGAGATGGAGGAAAAGATGCGCCTACACACTTAGCAGGGGAACGGAAAGAAAACAGCCCACGCAAGGCACGTCTCACTACAGATCCCATAAGGCAATGGGGGAAGGGCCTGTAACTCCAAGGCCGTGAAGCCCAAGTCCAGCGGAGACGGCCTCCGCGAGGCATTCTGGGATTTGTAGTCTGCCGCTCCGCGTTCAGCACCGGAACTTGCACATGGTCCTTGCCCCGCCTCTTAAAGCTCAAGCACCTGATTTCACTTCAAGTGAAGACAGTCTTACTAGTTACGCGATATTTTATTTTTCCACACTTTAAACCTTTTGAGTTACAGAAGTTTGCATGCAACCTTCATAGCCTCTTACCTTCATTTAGCAAACATTTACTGAGTTTGTAAGGTTTCTACTAGGTGCCACGGACTAAATCATCAGGATTCCAAGACACTACATTCACCGAGCTCAGAGTTTAAATTTCTAATCCATTCTTTTATTCTGGAGATTTTAGAAATGCAGTACATCTTTGGCAGAGACATGGAGGGAGGAAAAAAAAAAAAAAAAAAAAGACCAGAGAATGAAGAGGTACAATAAGGAAGTACAGATGTCATGTTTAATATTAGGATTCACTCTTTGGATGGGTGTGTTTTAATTTGCACCCTGAGTCAGCTATTTGTAAAAAGTACCTTCGTGTTTTTAGTTTTTAAAGGAGACTCTAGGTTTTTTCTGGTCAATTAGCACAGTTGATTTCTAGCAAGCAATTAAGTAATAAAGCTTAAAATATTTGTAAAGATAAATTGAGCAAGTAATAAAACACTGTTTTGCTTCACAGCTACTAATTTTCTATTTTAGGTCAGTTCCACTGCATCCATTAGACCTTGTTACAGGGTTATATTATCTCATATTATATTAACAGGATTATAATTTTCCCGAGACCAGAATTACTGGTCTAAGTTACTAGCCCAGTGAATCCCTGCTAAAGGTAGACCAAAACGGTCCCTTTATTTGCCAGGTAGACTGCTTGGACAATTGAATCTTACTATAACTGATAATTGTAGTTTCTTTAAAAATTGCTTTTCACAGGAGTAGTATACGACTTGCTAGGCTCCCTCTTTTTTTTTTTTTTTCTTTTCACTGATAATGATTTTTGGTTTTGATTTGCCATAGGGTTTGGCTGTTATATAGGCAAACACAAAGGTAGATAAATGTTACACATTTGCCAAGTGGCCAGATGATCCTTTCCTATTTGGGAGAGGAAGCTTGACAATCTTATATGTGGTATGTTTCTTCAACAGGAGCAAGAAGAGAGAGCTATTCAGGCATTTTGTATAGATTCTTTCAGGAAAAACTATCTTTAGTCCTTAGAATTCAAAAATAAAAATATTGGGAGGAAATTGATATGCTGATGAGCTGGGAAATTTAAACTCAGAGAAGTATCCACAATGTGTTAAAGGGTTACTGATTTATTAATCAAAATTGTGTTGCTTGGAGCAGTGTGCTTCCCCTAACAGAAACTTTGGAGGTGGGGCCCAGGAATTTGTTTTTAGCAAGCCCTCCAGATGATTCTGATATCTCCTGCTAATGTTTAAGAACCATTGGCTTAGAACAATCATGTAAATTTAAATCAGGGATCTGGAAGCATTTCTTTTTTCAAGGCTCTTCAGAGCCAATCCTTCTAAGGGTGATTTAAGGTAATGTCTATAATATAATTTATGACTTAAGTGAATGTGTTTAAAAAGTAGGTGTTAAGAGTTAAGATTTCATGTAACTTGTTGCACAGAGAGGACAGGTGTGTAGAGGACATCTAGTCAGTTTCCCACATGGGTAAGAATCCAGTTTTTCAAACTGAAGTTACTAATATAAAAACTCTTCAAAGTTCAAATGAATGCTAATAGTTATCAGTTGCGTTTTTATTTTAAATATTTTTCTATTGTGGTAAAACATAGATTACATAAAATTTTCCATTTTTAACCTTTTTTTAATGTACAGTTCAGTGACATTGATTACATTCACCGGTACGTTTTTTAAAATCGGGAAATGCTTTCACTCCCTTTAAGTGTGCTCAGAACATGCATCGACAACTAAATTGGTGGAGTCAATCTGTAAAAAGGCGTGCGTTTGGAGTCGGGGGTCGCATTCGTGATCAGGGGGAGGCAGCGATGCCTTGGCTCCGTGCTGCCCTAGGCCGAGGGCGGTGCGGTGCGGCCGGGCGCCCCGGGCGAAGTGGACGCGGTGCAGGGACGCGCAGGGCCAGCGAGGGGAGCTGCAGGGTAACTTTTCCCAGGGAAAGCGGCCGGTCGTCCCCGCTAGAAGCCACCCTGCCTTTTGTTTGTTTTCCTGCTGGAGGCTGGAAGGCGGCCGGGTTCCTGCTGCACTACCATGCGCCGCGCGGCCCGGGCGTCCCCGCACGGAGCCCTCGGCCTGTCCTAGCAGGGATCGCCCCCCATTTCCAGTTCCTGAGCGGGCGGCTGCGCCCCCCTCGCCGAGGAGCTGCGCTCACCGCAGGGCGGTCCCCCGCCTGTGTTCGCGGCGCCAGTAAGTGGGGCTTACGGATTAAGGGGCTTTCTGCCGGGCGACCTGTCACTCGGGGTGCTGGGCTGGAGCTGAGGGGGGGACCCCTGCCCCGTGGCCCCGCGAAGGAAAAGGCTAATGGGCGGTAGTTCTCTCCGCGGTCATGTGGGTTTCTCCCTCCTAGCATGAAAACTCCTGTTTCCTCGGAGTCTGGAGGATTTTGATGGGTGTTTACTTTCCGTCTTAAAGAAGGGGATGATCCTAGCTATTTGAATTCCCTGTGGGGGCATGTTGAGGACTTGTTCTTGGAATTTCCCAGACTAGGCCCTTGGATGTCCCGCAAAGGGTCTGAGCAAGAATCCTCACGTACTTATTTGCAACCATTTTTCACTGAATTTCTTTCTGCTCTGATTTCTTTATTACTAATCAGAGTAGATGTTATGAGAAGAATGTTAAAGCATTTTCCAGAACAACTGTTTCTTTTGTAACGTTGATCTATTAAAGTTTGATTTTGACTAACATGAGAGCTTATATGTAAGGAAGTTTAATCCATCATTCTGCAGAGAAGAGTGTTCTTAAGACCTGCTTTTGCTAAAGCTGGACCAGGCTGAGGAAATACCACTCTGAATTTTGCTTGGGGTCTGGATTTCTGTGAGGTACTGCAGCTTGTGTTTTTTATATTGGCCTGGAGCACTCTTTGTTGTAATAGAAGTTTGATAGTTACAGTTTTCATTTCCCACATTTCCCAGTGAATGGGGGGATTTCAGGGTGTGCCCCAATAGTGAATGTAACTATTGCTGAATGTAAAATTAAAATAAGCTTTAAATTTGTGTAGTCAACATATAAAGGTATGTAAAAACATATGTCAAAGATATGTATAAACATATTAAGAAGAATTTGTGTATCAACCATATGCTTAACTGCACTAGGAGTTAATATATGCATAAATATGCACATTTGAAATAGTTTCTGAACAAAGCACTACAATTTGGTAAAGAATCTTGAAGGCCTTCTTATCTGAGGAGCAGGAATTGTAAAACAGTAGGAAGTGGGTGTAGAAATGAGAGCAGTGCTGGGATTCTTTATTTAAAGTGACATCTTGAACCATTCCTTGCTCCCTGAGGTCCAGCCTTACAGTGACCCTGCCCACTTTCTGTTTCTCCCTTTCCGCTTTGCCTTGTCACCTTCTCCAAAGTCAACATTGGTGTCTGGGCAGGAAGGGGTGCCCAGGAAGGGGCAGCCACATTTCTTAATGAGTTTCACATGGTGGAGGGGTGCATTGGAGGGTGGAGCCGAAGTAGGCAGACCCCTGCCCTTTTTTTTTTTTTCCCAAGGGAACTCAGCATTTAGTCATAAAGAAGTGGTTTTTCTCATTCAAGTTTCTTCCCTACAGACTATGCATAAGTGAGCAACCAGGACCAGGAACAAGCCATCTGGGGTTTTATTTATTGACTGTTCAACATCATCAGAGCCCTTTTCGTACTTTCATTGTTTGTTTTATTCTCACTGCTTATTAAGGTTCCCAGTGAAGGTGAAAATTATGTCAGTCATGACAGGAATTATCTTTAACCATCTTTTCCTTTATTTCCTTCATCCCTTCTATCAGTGATTCATCAAGACCTTTGAAATGTGTTTTATATAGATCCCTCCCTCTTTATTCTAACCCAGACCTCACCCTTCCTGGCCCTTAGTAAGCCCTCATTAAATGTTTGCCAAATGACTGAAGGAATGAGACTCTTCTCTCTGGTCTTTTCAGCATCTTGTTGCCCTTCTAATCTTTTTAAATGATTACTTTCTCATGTCTCTCCTGGCCTTGCAACCTTCAGTTCCTCTCCATTATCCACTATCTCAAGCCTAAAATGATATGCCTGCT